GTAGGACAGGACTTCCTTCCCCAACGAGTGTACACTACTCCTCCACTTTTAGGACCTGCTGGTCCTACTGGTCCAATATCACCCTTGTCACCTTTCAAATAAATAAACAGATAGGAGGAAATACTTATAATCTTTACAAAATACGGTTATAAAATGGGGTCTCATTCCATTATGATTACCTTTAAATGTATTATCATAATCCTTGCTTGTAGTAGATAATACAAAAATGGAGAGTGTAGTCAGTATAAACACAGACTCCAATAGGTTCATTTCTGCTGCCGGGATTCAGAAAAAACTATCTAGGGCTACAAAGGAGTGAAAACCACAGCTACTCAGCTAGATCTAATTGTGTGGGTGTTTTAACTGTTTTTAGACTCCCACAATTGCCCACAAAAATGTTCCTTGGTAAAGGTAATTTTTCCTTACACATTATAGCTGCACATGTACTTATGTAATGTTGAGTGGAATTTTGTGCTGATTTCAATAAACACAGGATTTTTTGGAACTGAACTGTGTATGCAGGGCAATATTTCATCAGAGATAGCTAAGACTGAGAGAATTTAACTGTCTTCATTATCAGCCTCAGCAGCAGGAAACAACACAAATGATTCATACAGTACTACCGTATAAAATGATTTGTTGGTGGGAGTTTTCTTTGGCGGTTTTGTGATGGCTAGCTTATTGGCGGATTTAATATTGGCGGTTTCCCACAATTTAATTATATCCCCACCCTTAGGCGGGGTTTTACTGAAGCAGTTGTGGTTCGTGGAGAACATTATTATCAGAGAAAGACTACCTTTTCTGGAAGATTGTATTCTTTATCACCTGGTTTAGAGACTGGCTTAAAGAAACATAGTAAAGCCATGTTAGCCAGCTGCTTTTAACTATGCTTTTACCTAAAATTAATGTGGGTGTGGTCACACACATGTATGGAATTATTGCTTGTGGATTTTATTTTGGCGTTTTTTTATAAATCCGTCAATCTGCCAATATAAAATCCCTGTCAAAATTTCATCTTATACGGTAATCAGCTCTCAACTGATAAATAATGTAAGTTTATACATTAATTATTACAATCATTACTTATAATAATAAATTAATAATAAAGTCTACTAGATAATGTTATTAAGCTATAAGTACATTGAAAGTTTGCAACTAGTTCAGTTTGAGACAGTATGCAACTATATAGGTCCTAAAATAAAAATTTTAATAAAAAATGAAAATTAGTGGAGACAAATTTCACCAAAATTTAACCCCCAGGGGGCATGCATGTGAACAAAATTTAATCTGCAGAACCTTTCCAAAGGCAACCCAACACATTTTATACACTCTAAGTTCTACATTTTCTAAGTATCTGTACAGGGGCCACAATGGCCCCTGTACAGAGCCATCTCTCCTAATGTACATCTAAACAATAATGAATTAATATTAATTATTGATAAGTTTCAAATACACAATTCCAAAGCAAAATCTACACATGTATTAATGCATCTACACTACACTATGCATGAGAATGACCTTTTATCTAATAATAATTTTACTATAAATTGTTATCAAGATGAGATAATATCTACTATTGTTATTATTAACAGACCTTGTCTTCACCATCAGCATATATCTCATCATCTTCCCCTGCTCGAATGTGTATTTCAATTATAAACCTGTCCCATTCGTCTGTGGGAACAAAGTCAACCCTATCAAGTATACACACAATTATAATATGGAGAACGTACCGTATAGCAGGAAATTTTGGAGGGAGTAAAATTTGGCAAATTGCTAAATTTTGGGTGATTGGCAAATTGTAATTTGGCAAATTTGTGGTCATGTGCCATTGAGCATGTGCATTATTGCTGAAAATGGTGGATTTTTATTTTGGCAAATGGCTATCAAAATGCCAATTTGTCAAATTTAATTCACTCCAAAATTTCCTGCTATACAATATACAAACTGGACACATTGCTATTAAGCTTTGACATAATGGTTTTGGAGAATGACTATTAAAATGCCAAATTCACCATCCAAAATTACAAGCTATACTACCAAAAAACTATCAACTATTGCAGCCCCAAGATTTCAAGGTAATTTGTTCATTTTGCATAACTTAAGATATCAGAGTTAGTTCAAACTTTCCATATACAATATGAATGATCATACAATGACTTACTCGTAATAGCTACTGCCAACTGATGGTTTGAAGGCTTTAAATTCATCCGATATTATTCTTTTTATTCTACTCTCAGAACTAATGTTTACACCAACAACTGTGCCTAAAATAGATAATAATAATAATAATAATAATAATAATAAATAAAATCATTATTATTCAGACATACCATCATCAGCAATACCAATTGTTAGGGTACCACCTCCTGAATTTAAAAATGCTGAACCATACTTCCTTATGTGCTACAAGAAGAGAAGGAAGGAGAGAGAGAAAAAGAAAGGAAAATGTCTTCATGTTGTTACTAAATCTGAACAAATAATAGTCTTAATATTTTACATCCACAAAATAAAACTACTATACATACAGTACTCAGTACCATTGGATTAACCTGCTCTAAATTATTCAAAGCAAAATTTCCAACTTTGTACTCTGTGTGTCTCGTTTCAGTATTCACTAACTTTGATCCAATTTTATAAGTGGTTCTTTGAAAGCGGAAAAGAAAAGGGAGAGAGTGGTTTCATGTACAGACAGTAAGGAAGACGATAGTAAAATAAAATTGCTATTTATTATTATTATTATTGCTACTTTGCTCTTGCTGTAGATGGTGAAAAAGATAGCTCTGGAGTAAGAGTGTAGACCATTGAAGAATCAGCCATTTTATTACAACTGCTTGTGTGAATGGGTGGAGCTGGAGCAGAGTCAGCTCAGCAGCAGATATGACTACATGCATAAAATTCAGTGAAGCATTTTATAGATTAAATCAATAATGATCATTGACTGATTTAGGAGATGATGCAGGCTAAAAAATGCAAATCTATGGTACACTGGAGGACAGGTGCATGCATTTATGATTAGTTCACTGGAGTTTGCAAAACTTTTTTTTGAAATACTAAAGATTCAAAAATAGCTAAACAAAAGTAAAAAATTACCTAGTACACACAACACAAGTAACAAATTCATTTTCAGCATAAGGTGGACAAGGAATACCAGTACCAATACATCTTAAGAGGATAAAATAAAACAAAGCACCATCAGTATTAGCATCACTTCCATCAATGGATTCAGGATTGTCATCAACGCACTCATGTAAGCTATTTTTATTGTGAGTATGGTGACTGGTCATCAGGTATCCTTTATATTCCATAGTCCATGATAAAGGACAGCTGGTTCTAGAGAATCATCAGTTTAGTGCTCCTGTTTGGTGCATAACAAACTGCACAAGGAACATTATGATTATTCTTCCCTGGAAATATATCATTGACATTTTCATATTCTGTACCATATATCAAAGAATAATGAGGAGGTACAGGTTTTTTCATATTTTGAGGCTCTTTTGCAGGCAAACAGACATGGTCGGCTCCTCCTCCTATATGTTCGTAATGACCACCTGCAGCTATTCCCTCATAAACCAGTTCCGCTCCAGCAGGACAGGACTTCCTTCCCCAACGAGTGTACACTACTCCTCCACTTTTAGGACCTGCTGGTCCTACTGGTCCAATGTCACATTTATCTCCTTTGTCTCCTTTGTCACCCTTATCCCCTTTCTCTCCCTGATCTATCAATTATACAAACCATGCAATAACAATAAGCCTGCCTAGAGTACATTATCAATGATCGTACACCATCAATTTTCGGACACTTGTTTTAGGAAAACTATACATTGCCATCTCATGAAACTGCAAAGTATTATAGCAATAGTTATCCTTTATTTGCGTGACAAAACTTGTAGCTCTAGCAAGAGTGCATAGAAAGTTATAAGCTCTCAAAGCGTGGTGTCCGACAATACCAATGATCGGCCAAAATTCTCAATCTTCGGACTGTCATTTCTGAACGGCAGCAAAGGATAGTTTTAGAAGATCACTATGATAACTTTGTAGGCCTGTCTTTAAACTAACTATCACCATCCGGATCTTTTTGATAGCTGTCTTTTTGACAGAGATAGTGGCCACTTACAATGTGTCACCTGATCC